TGACTGGAGATTTCCAAAATATTTGGAGATTAAATAATACACTTTTAATAACTTATTGGTCAAAAAAGGAGTTTCAGGAATAATTTAAAAATATTTTGAACTAAATGAAAATATAGTTTGTCAAAATGCTTGAGATGCAGTGCCTAGAGGGAAATTTATAGCACTGAATCAAAATACGAGGAAAGAAGAAATACTTAAGATTAGTAATCTAAGCTTCCATCCTAGGAAACTATAAAAGAAAAGCAAATTAAATACAAAGTAAGCAGAAGAAAATAAGTATGAAAATCAGCAGAAATCAGTGAAATTGAAAACAGGAAAACAATAGAGAACATCAGTGCGACCAAAGTTAATCAACCTCAGGCCAGGCTAACCAAGGGGAAAAAAAAGAGAAAATACAAATTACTAATATCAGAATATCAATATCACTACTGATATCATTAGCATTAAAATGATAATAAATGGATATTATGAGCAATTCTATTTTCACAATTTTTTTTTTCTTTTTTGAGACGGAGTCTCGCTCTGTCACCCAGGCTAGTGGTGTGATCTCAACTCACTGCAACCTCCACCTCCCGGGTTCAAGCGATTCTCCTGCCTCAGCCTCCTGAGTAGCTGGGATTACAGGTGCGTGCCACCATGCCTGGCTAACTTTTTTTATATTTTTAGTAGAAATGGGGTTTCACCAGGTTGGTCAGGCTGATCTCAAACTTCTGACCTTGTGATTGGCCTGCCTCAGCCTCCCAATATTTCCACAAATTTGATAACTTAAATGAAATAGACCAATTCCTTAAAAGACATATTTTACCAAAACTCACATAAACAGAAAAGGATAACCTGAATAGGTTTGCTTTGACTTGATTTGATTTGATTTGATTTCCATCAATATCTTCATCAACGTGTATTGATGAAGAAACAGAATCCATCACTAATAACCCTCTGAAACAGAAAGCACTGGTCTCAGGTTATCTCATTGGTGAATTCAACTAAACATTTAAAGAACAAATGATACCAGTTATGTACAAGCTGTTCCAGAAAATAGAAACAACAGAATATTTCCTAATTATATGAGGCCACATACGTGAGGCCATTACATGAGCATTACCCTAATAAAAAAACCAGACGAACATATCACAAGAAAAGAAAACTATAGACCAGTATCATTCATGAACATAGATGTAAAATCCTCAACAAAATATTAGCAAATTGAATCAAACAATGTATAAACAGAATTATGCATCATAAACAAGTGTAATTTTTTCCAGGTTTACAAGACTGGTTTAACAGTAGAATGTCAGTTAATATAATCCACCACCTCAACAGGCTAAATAAGAAAATATGATATGAAAAGATGCAGGAAAATCATTTGACAAAATCTAACAACCATTCATGATAAAAAAAAAAAAAACTCTCAAACTTGAAATAAAGGGGCACTTCCTCAGCTTTTTGAAAAACATATTTTTTTAAAAATCTTATAGCCAACGTTATACTTACTGGTGAAAACGAGATACTTTTAAGAGCAAGGGAATAAGGAAAACATGTTCCTCCTTTGTTAAATTTTAACTCCTATTCAGCATTGTCCTGGAAGTCCTAGCTAGTGCAATAAGAAAAGAAAATAAAAAGTATACAAATTGGGAAAGAAGAAATAAAACTGTCTTCCTTTGTAGATGGCATGGCTGTCTGTGTGAAAAATCTTCAAGAACTTATTTTTTAGATTCCCTAAACTAATAAGCAGTTATAATGAGATTGTAGCATAACAAGGTATAAGTTAATACACAAAAATCAATTGCTTTTCTGTATTACCAGCAATGAGTAATTGGAATTTAAAATGAAAAACACGATATCATTTACATTAGCACCAAAAAAGAGAGAAAGAAATAGGTATAAATCTAACAAAATATATGTAAGATCTGTATGAGGAAAACTTTGATCAAAGAAATTAAATGGAAGGATATTTCATGGTCATAGGTAGAAGGACTCAATACTGTTAAGATATTAGTTCTTCACAAATTGATCTATCAATTCAATGCAGTTCTAATCAAAATCCAAGCAAGTTACATTGTATATATTAACAGATTCTAAAGTTTCTATGGAAAGGCAAAAGACCCAGAATAGACAATACAATATTGAAAAACAAAGTTGGAGAACTGACACTGACTTCAAGATTTACTGTAAAACTACAGTAATCAAGACAGTGTAATATTGGCAAAAGAATAGACAAGTACAATTGACCCTTGAACAACATGGGTTTGAACTGCAAAGGTCCTCTTATTTGTGGATTTTCTTCCACTTCTGCTACCCCTGAGACAGCAAGAACAACCCCTCCTCTTCTTCCACCTCCTCAGCCTACTCAGCATGGAGACAATGAGGATGAAGATCTTGATGATGCTCTACTTCCACTTAAGAATACAGTATTCTTTATTCTAGCTTACTTTAAAACTACAGTGTATAATATACATATAAAATATGTGTATATGTATAATACACATATAAAATATCTGTTAAACACCTGCTTATGTTATTAGCAAGGCATCCAGTCAATAGTAGGCTATAAACGGTTACATTTTTGGGGAGTTGAAAGTTGTACTCAGATTTTTAACTGTGCAGGAGGTTGGCACTGTAACCCTTATGTTGGTTTAAATTTCAACTGTAGTTCATTGGAACAGAATGGTGAATCCAGAAATAGAACACAGATATACTCTTTGTTCTACACAATATACACAGTATATAGTCACAAATAAAGTCAAGTGATCTGTGACAAAGGAGCAAAGACAATACAATGGATAGTCTTTTCAACAAATTATACTGGAACAAATAGATACCCACATGCAAAACATGAATCTAGATGCAGATCTTATACCTCAGACATACACACACACACACACACACCCTCAAAATGAATCATAGACTTACATGTAAAAAACAAAACCATAAAACTCCTAAAATATAAACATAGAAGAAAATCGATGTGACCTGAGGTTTGTTGGTGAGTTTTTATCTACATCCCCAAAAGCGCTACCCATGAAAGAAAAAATTGATAAGTTGGACTTCATTAACATCTTTTTAAATCTGCCTTGAAAAAGCACTGTTAAGAGAATGAAGAGACAATCCACAGACTGGGAGAAAATATTTTCAAAACATATATCTGATAAAAGACTTGTATCTAAAATACAGAAAAAACATTTAAAAGTCAACAATTTTCTTTAAAAACCAGTTAAAATGTTAGCAAAAGATCTGAACAGACACCACACCAAAGAAGATATAGAAATAGTATAGAAGCATGTAAAAATATGCTCAACATCATATGTCATTAGAGAATTGCAAATTAAAACAATAATGACATACCTCTATACACCTGTTAGAATGACTAAAATCTAAAACTTTGATGATGCCAAAGGTTGGCAAGGATGTGGAACAACAAGAGCTCTCATTCCTTGCTAGTGGGAATGCAAAATGGTCCAGCCACTTTGGAAGACAGTTTTTTACAAAGGTAGGCATACTCTTACCATATGATCCGGTGATCACGCTCCTTAGTGTTCACCCAAATGAACTGAAAACTTATGTCCACACAAAAACCTGTACAAGAATGTTTATAGCAGCTTTATTTATAGGTGCAAAAAATTTGAAGCAACCAGTATGAATTGATATGTCTGCTATAATTGGACCATGTTTCCCCAAAAATTCGTTTGTTGAAATCCCAGTCCCCAAGGTAATGGTATTATAGGGCAGGATCTTTGGGGTGCTGTGCCCTCATTATTGGGATTAGTGCCCTTATAAAAGAGGCATGCAAGAGCTAGCTTGCCCCTTCTAACATGTGACACAACTAGAAGGCACCATCTATGAAGCAGAAAGTGGGCCTTTACCAGACACTGAATCTGCCAGCACCTTTATCTTGGACTTTCCAGCCTCCAGAACTGTGGGAAACAAATTTCTGTGGTTTATAAGCTATTAATGTATACTATTTTGTTATAGAATCCTCAGTTAACTAAAACAATGTCCAATGAATAAATGGATAAACAAACTGTGGTATGCACATACAATGGAATATCATTCAGCATTAAAAATAAATGAGCTATCAAACCACAAAAATTTACAAAGGAAACTTAAATGCATACTACTAAGTTGAAGTCAGTATGAAAAGGTTACATGCTGTATGATTCCAACTGTATGACATTCTTGAGGGGTAAAACTACACAATCAGTAAAAAAAAGATCATATATTTACATCTTTAAGATGCAAATTTCTTTGTCACATATTTGCTAGGAATTTTAAGTAGATGAATGACTATCACATACATTAAATAAGATACCTTGTCCAAATGCTTAGCACAATATATGATACTTATGAGGTGCTTAATATTGAATGAATGAGTGAATTAGAGAATAAAAGAATGAATGCCACTCTTTTCTTTGTAATACAAGCATAGCTTAGTAAATTTATTTTAAAAACACATGTGAGGCTGGGCGCGGTGGCTCACGCCTGTAATCCCAGCACTTTGGGAGGCTGAGGCAGGTGGATCACCTGAGGTCAGGAGTTCGTGACCAGCCTGGCCAACATAGTGAAACCCCATCTCTACTACAAATATGAAAATTAGCCGAGCGTGGTGGCAGTTGCCTGTAATCCCAGCTGCTTGAGAGGCTGAAGCAGGAGAATTGCTTGACCCTGGGAGGCGGAGGTTGCAGTGAGTGGAGACTGTGCCACTGCGCTCCAGCTGGGCAACAAGAGTGAAACTCAGTCTCAAAAAAAAAAGAAACAAAAACACACGCACGCGCACACACACACACACACACACATGAATCAACTAAAGATATAATTTTGTCTATACAGAGTAAAGTAATATGTTGATAAATGTATTATGTATTTATACAATTATGTATTATGTATTTACATAATTATGTATTATGTAAATATGTATTCTATTATAAAACCCATATCCAGATGCATACATTTACTGACCCAGAGTAAACTTTTATTCTCATATCTTACATTTTATCTTAATATAGGGCCTGCGAGGACTGCAAGGTGATGTTGGACCTCCTGGAGAAATGGGCATTGAGGTAAATTTTTTGTGGCTCATTCTTGTTCATAAATATTCTACTTTTTGTAAGGCTCTAGGGTAAAATTAATAATTAGATATATATTATGAGGAATACTTCCATAGTATTGTTTCATATTCAGAAAAAAGCCTAAAATTCCATTAAAAGCAGAGATGATTATTATATGTCTAATTTTATACATATGAAGTTCTCCTCTAATAATTACCTCATTGAGATGACAGAACACAAAGTAGATAGAGCTTTCCCTTCTCTGATTTAAAGTTGACTTGAAAACCTTTCATTCTAAGATATTATATGCCCTATATAGGAGAATACTGAGACATTACCCAATTTAGGATATATTTTGGAATTATAAGCCAAATTTGTTATAAATATCCAGTTCTTTTATTTCCATTGTTTGTAACTTTAGTACTAAATAAATCAAACATTTTATTTAATGTTTGATTTATTTAGCTGTTGTGAAACTGCTCCCTTGGCTGCTGTGTAACTGCTCTGTCTTGATTTGCCACTTCACCTTCTCATTAGCCTTTCTGAGTCTTGACATGAAGTTGCCCTTTTACTTCCTTGGCTTAGTGATCATATTATTACAGTGACTTTAATTACCAATTTTACTCTGATAGATCTCAACTTGGTAGCTGTATTTTATACCTCTCTCCTCAGATTCAATTATGGATTTCCTGTTATCTTTTTAAACATCCGCCTAGATATCCCACAGACATCTACAATTCAAAATATCTAAACCAAATCCATTACTTTCCCACTGTTCTTCCTCTGTTTAATTCCCATCTCAATGAAAGATATCCCTTATACCCAATAACCCAAAACAGAGAGTCATCCTAGACTCCTTCTTCTACCTAATCCTCTCTAATCAGTGACCATTTCCTTTTGAATAGGCCTCCTCCTGCCCATTCTTCTTAAATCTACCCTTTCCTCTTTATCCCTATTGCCAGTGCACTGTCCCCTACACTCTCATGCCATGTCTCCTCCAACTCCTGTAATTCCATCATCTACTTGTTGCCAGTTTATCTTTCTTATATCATTCATTTATTTTAAATGTTTCAAGAGTTCTCATGGCCTTTAGGATAAAATGCCAATTTCTTAACATGGTAAATAATGGTTTACATAACTTAATTTCTGCAGACCTGTTCACCTGTGTCCCCAATAAAACTCTTCTCCTCCCTCAAGGGAAGGGAGGGGCACACATAGCATGCTCACAAATAAGGTAAATGTCTCTTAGAGACAAAAATAGTTGTAACATCAGCAATAGTAGGAACTTTAGGCCTGGAAATAGCCAGAGGTTGCAAGAACTTGTATGTTCTCAAAGTAAAGAAAACTGAAAGCTTCCCAACAAAAATGGACCCACCATGAAAAAAGGCTGGAAAAGAAGGGGTGTGTGTGTGTGTGTGTCTGTTTGTCTGTCTGTCTGTCTGTGTGTGTCTTCTATAATGTGAATAAATTTATCTCTTATTTGCATGATATTTTTATGAAACCAACAAAGAAAAATGAATTTTTTAAGTAAGTGGATTCCTGAAGGCACTACAGAAAGGGAAAGGAAGAACAAATCGCTTTGGATGAAGTTTAAAGGATGACAGAGAGGATTAGAAGAAATGGATCTTGAAAGTCCTAATTTTAGATGAAGTTGTCTTTACATTTGAACTATTAAATGGTGTCAGAAAGTATCTGTACTTATGCTATGAAGTTGATAAAGGGACAGCAATTATGCCCTTTTGGACACAGGTATCTCACCCTTGAGTTCAGTGTTACCACCATCTTCTCATGAGATTGCTGTTGCCTTTGTAATGTGTCAAATTATTCTCTTGTAGGGACCTCCAGGCATTGAGGGAGAGTCTGGTCTGCAAGGTGAACCAGGTGCAAAGGTAACCTTCTAAAAAATAATGGAGAGTCTCTAAACTTTCATCATTGAATCCCCTACACTTGCTACCATTGAGTCCCCTACATTTGCCAACTTGAAAGAAGGTGGAAGCCCCCAGAGAAAAATTTGGAACTCCTATTCCTTATGACAGCAGTCCCCAACCTATTTGTCTGGCACCAGGGACCAGTTTCATGGAAGCGAGTTTTTCCACAGATGGAAGCGGAGCAGGGGATGGTTTCAGGATGAAACTGTCCCACCTTAGATCATCAGGCATTAGATTCTCATAAAGATTGTGCAACCCAGATCCCTCAAATGCACAGTTCACAATAGAGTTCATGCTTCTGTGAGAATCTAATGCTGCCACTGATCTGTCAGGAGGTGGAGCTCAGACAGTAATGCTGTGTCACCAGCTGTTCACCTCCTGTTGTGCGGCGTAGTTCCTAACAGGCCTTGGACAGGTGCCCTCTACGGCCCAGGCGTTGGGGAACCGTGCCTTATGACATGCCCTCCATAATTAGCCATGCAGTCTTAGTAGAAAAGAGTTTAATCTTTCCCTTTGTTTCCTCAGGGAGATGTTGGACCTGCAGGAAGTGTTGGAGAAACTGGGGAACCAGGTTTGCGAGTGAGTGCCCACTGGAAACTCTTTTAATACACTAACCCGCTTCTTTCAGAGACTCAAAACTTATTAGTCTAAACACTCAAAAAATAGGATAATAAACCTTTCTGATACATTATAGAAAATGTTTGGTTTTATTTCATAATTTCAAAAGCTGCATGCCAAATCTTGTCCCTATTCTAATTTAGTAGTATTTAGAGTCTTAACCTCGTATGTCCTTCTCTCAAAATCAGGCATACTTTGTAGAACCCTTACCAAAAACGTGGAGTCACTGTGATTGTCACTAACGTCAGCATTAAGAAGAAATTCACAAGTACCAGTGGTCAACTCTCAGAATAGTTCGTGACCTAACAAGACAGATAAAAGATTGAAATCTAATTTATAGATTTAATTTGCTCTAAAAAAATCAAACCTATGATCATGCAGGGTTAACACGATGCAAGGCCATAATTGCAAATTGTTGCAGTTAGATAGCTTTGAGAAGTTATCCTAATATAGATAGCCTTTATTCTGAGCTGTGGTAAGGAGTTGTTTCCTAAGATAATGATGCCCAAGATAATTTTAAGAGACATTTGTTCACTAAAAGGCAAAGTAGGGAGATATATTTTGTATCTGGCTTCTTTCTTTTTACATTCCCTTTTTTGTGTGGAGTGGGGTGAATGAGAAGTGAGGATAATAGAAATGTCAGTGATAGAAAAGATGGAGCAACGATAAAGATGCACTAATTAATTTACTTTTAAATAATTTCAGTATCAAGAAAGCCAGTCCTACTTTAATAGCTTTGTAAAGTATGGCTCTACATTTCTGCAAGTTCCATATCTAAAAGACAACTAAGTAATGTACCAGAGCCTTAATCTTTACCTCTGTATTGAAAGGGAGAAAATGTGGAAACTCTAAAAATCTGGTAGAGTGGTCATAACTGAATCAAATTATATTAGCCCATGTAAATTCAATATAGCAAAGCACTATAATTTTATGAGATGCAGTATTTACATTTCTTGAACTCAAAAACACAAGTCTAGCTGTATAAAATTCTAGAGCTACCAAATGGATATATATTACTTTAATTATCTAAAATTTACTAATATTCTGGGATCATCTTATATTTGAATTTATGACACTCTGAATCATGAAAGCATCTTCAGAGCTATTCAAGGCAAATTAAATCATGCTCATTATACTGTCAAATCCTCTTTAGAGATAAAGTAATAGAAATAAGTGAACACAAATTTGTTATTTTCCATATATGCTGTGGGCTAAAAATAAAATAAGATAAATGATATAGCAAAAAAAATTCCATCGTACTGTTTCTGCTACAAAATAGGGTGAACCAGGAGCTCCTGGAGAAGAAGGTCTCCAAGGAAAAGATGGGTTAAAGGTAAATTATACTTTTAACATTATATATAAAATAGATGCTTTGTAAAATCTTTAAAATATTAGACATCATTATTTTTGTGTGGCAAACAAAAACCTGCTTTTTGTTGGCATAATTATTTCACTGTATTCTTTTATAAAAAAAGTTTTTTATTGCATTACAGGGAGTTTCAGGAGGAAGGGGACTTCCTGGAGAGGATGGAGAAAAAGGAGACATGGGCTTACCAGGAATTATAGGGCCCTTGGGTAGATCAGGCCAAATGGGCCTTCCGGTAAGTACTACTGGGTTCACTTTCAAATACTAAGTGAATTCACTGCCTGTATGTGTACACATGCACACACCTACACACGCTCTGACTTCCTTATATATCCAGTGGGTAATTGTATATGTGGAACTGTGGCTTGAGAGAAGGACAAGTCAAGAACTGATTTTCAGCCCTCCTAAGATCCAAAGAGGAAAGATGCTTTGCCCATAAGCCATGTAACTTCTGTCATAAGGCATTTATAAAGGAATGTTTTATGTTGTCTTGAACTTAGTTTGATTAAATATTTTGGATCTATATTCCTATAACGGACATTATTGTTGTAGAGTAATATCCCAGCTCCAGGATGAAACAAGAAATTCTTTGCAAGCATTTGTTATTACTTATTTGTTATAATAAATTTTATTATTACTTCAAGGGAAGTTCTAAACATCATATTGAACAAATTATCTCACCTCAAGACAAATGGAAGATGTGAACAAATAATAAGAATAATGATCATTCCTGTAATCCCAGCACTTTGGGAAGGCAAAGTGGGTGGATCACCTGAGGTTAGGAGTTATAGACCAGCCTGGCCAACATGGTGAAACCCCTTCTCCACTAAAAATACAAAAATTAGATGGGCGCCACGGTGCATGCTTGTAATTCCAGCTACTCGGGAGGCTGAGGCAGGAGAATCGCTTGAACCCGGGAGGCGGAGGTTACAATGAGCCAAGATCATGTCACTGCACTCCAACCTGGGAGACAGAGGGAGACTCCATCTGAAAAAAGAGAGAGAGAGAGAGAGAGAGCGAATAGCATCCTTTTTGCTTAAATGCTTAATTTATATTTATTATAGTCTTCCATATTATAGCCTATCTGGTCATTCTATTGTTTCATTTTACTGTTCCCTTTTTCTTGTCTCATATCTTTAAACATGGGTTCTCCTCAGAGTTATTGTCTTTACTTCTCTAAATGTTCTTGCCTTCGGAGGTATTCTCCTATCTTGGGAGTCATCCCTTTTGACCCTACCAGAAAATGGTTTCTCTTTCTTCTGTACTCTGGCAGTTTTATTCTGCCTTTTAAAGATTGCAACATTTAAGCATGTGGGTCTCTTCCGCAAGAGAAAGCATAGCTCTTCAAAACCAGATGCTCTGTCTTTACTCCTTCCCATAAACCACAGTGCTTCTGTGCTCCAGTATTTCCACATGGGAGCTCAGTAAAGACTGAGGAACTAATTATGAGTAAACTGATCATGCAGGCAGACTGGAAGACAAAGTAATGGTTTACAGAGTTTATAATTTTCAACTTTTTTTCTGTCCTTCTGTTTTCCTCTGGTTTCTAACCTGCAGATCATTGAATGGGCCCTGCCCCAATCAGTTCAGTTAGGTTTGCAGGACTAAGAGGAAAGCTCTATCTGGAAGAAAACAACAAATATCATAAATGAAACACAAGCTAGCTGTCTCACCATTCATTTTTATCAATGACTATAATTCCTTTAGCAGCAATTAAAATAATATTATAGTACATCTACCCCCAAATAATGGCATATTTCAAAATAACATTTGAGGAATGAAGATAAACCAGAAGTATCAGATATTTTTGAGCACTGGCAAATGGCAACTTTTTTCTCTTCAGTTTTACAATAGTAATAAAGTGCCCATTTCTTCTCTGTCCTGCTCTCAGTCCTGAAGAACTGTGATGGGTGTTCCACCACAGCAAATACAAAGTACTTAGGAATCCCCAAAATTATTTATTTGTTTATTTATTTATGAGATGGAGTCTCACTCTGTCACCCAGGCTGGAGTTCAATGGCACAATCTAGGCTCACTGCAACCTCCGCCTCCCGGGTTCAAGAGATTCTCTTACCTCTGCCTCCAGATTAGCTGAGACTACAGGCATGCACCACCATGACGGGCTAATTTTTATATTTTTAGTAGAGACGGGGTTTTACCATGTGGGTCAGGCTGGTCTTAAACTCCTGACCTCAACTGATCCACCAGCCTCGGCCTCCCAAAGTGCTGGGAATACAGGTGTGAGCCACCGCACCCAGCCCCCAAAATTATCTTAGACATCATTAGTCCAAACGTTAAACAATATAATTTCATTTATATACTGTCATAGAATCCTCCCAATAACCTATATATGTTATTATTTCCTATTTTACAACTGGGAAGAAAACTTAGAAAAAGCTAAGAGATTTGTACAAGGTAATATAGCAGATGGCACTGCTTTACTTATTTACTAAAGAATAAAGAAATCACTAAAGAAATTATTAATAAAGAATCTTTTCCTTTAGACAGAGTCTCACTCTGTCACCCAGAAGTTCAGTGGCACCATTTTGGCTCACTACAACCTCTCCCTCCCGGGTTCAAGCGATTCTCCTGCCTCAATCTCCCGAGTAGCTGGGAGTACAAGCACCCACCTAATTTTTGTATTTTTATAAGAAACGGAGTTTCACCATGTTGGCCAGGCTGGTGTCAAACTCCTGAACTCAAGTGATCCTCCCACTTTGGCCTCCCAAAGTGCTAGAGTTACAGGCGTGAGCCACTACACCCAGCCATTAAAGAACTTTCTTTATTTTCTGGATTTGTGTCTCTAAGCCTTGCTTACCCATAGGTTAACCAGCTTTGGCCCCATATTTTTCCTCTCTAGAGTTCTTAATAATTTTCATATTTGTTAAAGGACTCATCCCTCTTCCATTAGCATCACGCCTGTACCCACAGAGAAGCCAAGTAACAAATGCCAAGAAAGTGTGATTATCTTCCTGATAATTCTTGTCAAATTTGTTTTTAGGTTGGAAAAGCCATCAACAGTTATTCATATTTTAGCATGTATTTTTAAAAACTCAACTAGCATAGTTCTCTAGCAGAATCCTAAGTGTTTGTAGGGAGGAGAAAAACAGAATTAAGAAAAGGGAAGGTCTAAACATATACCATAGAATAACACAGCAAGGAATCCCAAAGAGGAATGATACAGTATGACAGTTAGTGACGAGTAGAGCAGAGATGGAAAAGGTACTCAAAACAAGTCATGGAAAAATGATAAACACAGATTTCATCTGCTTCATAATTTTTCCCAGGAAAAATCATGCCTAGTACACATCTTTGGTGCCTTTTTTTAGTAACACCACATGTGTGTTTTTTTATTCTTTTTGTTGTTCTCCTTGGAATTTTAAATGGCTTTCAGCTTATAAACTCAATAAAAATACCATGGCATATTTTTTCAAAAGAATTTTGCGATCCAAGGAACTATTGCTTAATCAGACAGCCTAATGCCGGATTTATTTTTGCACTTTAAAAATTCTTCCTTAGGCAGTGTCACAAAGATGCTACCTTGGATTCTTACAAAATAAATAAGAAAGAGAGCAAGAGAAAGAAATAAAACTTTTTTTTTTCAAGAAAAGAAAAGATCTCCTTACTTCCTAGAAGATTGAAGAATGAGATCTGGATTGAAAAAATAAAGCAAGAGAAGCATCAGTAACGAATTCCAAATCCAGGAGTTAGATTTCTTTAAACAGAAAAAAAAAAATTGTATATTTTATGCTTGAATCTTGTGCTAAAATGTTCAGTTGCCTAAATGCATAACTCTGCATGAGAAAAGAATTGGGAAGCATCTGAAAAGAAGCATCTGAAAAGAAACATCTGCCAGACTTATGGTCTGTTATCTATGCTAAAAAATCTACCACTGTGTTATCTAAGATCTGAGCAGACATGCAACTATCAACTCCAAAGTTGGATGTATTAAAATGAAATTGTCCTGTTTCATATGTTTAGGAGAAAATTTGGTTGGATTTATTGAAATGTGGTTTTTACTACCTGTTTAAGGTGGTATGATAATAGGTAGAGGTGAATATCTTAAGGGAAGATAAAATGAAATAAAGTGACCTTCTCAAATAAGTTTTTTAAATAAGATCTTAAAAGTGAAGTCATAAAGATGAGAAGAATATCAATAGTTAGAAAAGAACAATAAGATATACATGTTTCTTGTTTCTAACAGTTTCCTTGGAAACAATCAGTTGGGAATTTAGGGTCAATGGCAGTAAGTGGCATTATGGAGTAAATGATTATCTAAATCTTTATCTTCGGAATGGTTTCTGTGACTCTGGTGTTAGGCTTGTTTATTCTGAACAGTTTCATCATAAAGCAACACAAATAGCAAGCCCTGCACTGACCACTGTGTCCCTGATCTCCCACTAAAGAGCTGTACATTGTTGAGTGAGTCATTCTTTAATTTATATGTTCACACATGACACAAAATAAAGGGGTTGGAGCTATGCAGAACTTCCCAAGATGGTTGTGTCAGGAGGGATACTAAGTTAGCAGGGCCCCATATTTTTCTATTCCTGTATCTATCAGGAAAGATCCTTGTATGTTTTTTTAACATAGATTTTTAACATAGATTTTCTAGGAAGTAAAGGTTCTAAGGCTTTAAAAAATGCATGGTCTTAGATTTTCTAAACTTTTATTCAGCCTTACAGACTGTGATTCTATAAAATATTTTTGTTCATTTGTGAATTCAGTGAGGTTTTTGAGTACCTTCTGTAAGCCAAGAACTCTACTAAACATTAGGGATACAGTGGGGAACAAGACTACCAAGTTTCCTGATCCTCAAATGTTATAATCTGATGAAGAAGACTGACAGATTAAAAGATCACTGCAGACTGTGATAATACAATAATGGAAATAAACATAGTAATGAAAGAGAATAACTGATGATGGGTAGAAAAGTCAACTAGTTAAAGATAGAGAACATATTTCAGCTAGGGTAGTGAGAGAAGGCTTCTCTGAATAGGGGACAGTTATATTGAGACATGAAGAATAAAAAGGAACCCATCATGCAAAGAACTGTGGGAAGATCCTTCAAGACAGATGAAGCAGCAAGGGCCGAGATATAGAGGTGAGAATGAGCTAAGTATTTTTAGGAAACTGAAAGGAAGCTATTACAGCTGCAGCATAATAAATAGTGAAAAGTTGTTTGAGATGAGCTTGAAGAAATAGGTAGGAAGTAGATCATGAAGGACTTTTTAA